CATGCCCACCTTTCCGACTCCTGCGAGCCCCAGGCCCGCCCGGCCCGCCCCGCCGGCCATCGCGGTGCGCCCTCTTTCTTTCGGCCGGATCCCCGCGCCGCGGCACCTCAGTTCCGTGAGGGCGGAAGGACAAGGGTGCGACACCACCCCTCTCCCTCCTCCTCCTCCTCACCTCCCTGCCCGTTCCCTGTCGCCGTCCCGGTCCCGGTCCCCGTCCATGTCGCGGTCGGGGGGCGATGGCACCGCCGCGCTGGAGCGGGCCGGGGCGGAGACGGTGAAGCGGGCGGTGGAGCTGGACGTGGCGTCGCGGTTCCAGGAGTCGCTGGTGTGTTACCAGGAGGGCATCGATCTCCTGCTGCAGGTGGTGAAAGGTACCGGGCGAGGGGGCCCCGCGGCCTCGGGGGTCGGGCACGGCCCCGGGGACACTCGAGCTGTGTCGGGCGCCGAGAGCCGTCGTCCCACGGGGAAGGCGAGAGGGGCAGCGGGCGGCGTTCCCCCAGGGAGGGCTACGGAAAAGCTTTTTAATGGCCTCAGCCATTTAATGGCTTTTTAATGGTCACAGCCACCAAGGATGAGGCAAAAAAGCACCGCTACCGGCAGAAGATCTCCGAGTATATGACCAGAGCCGAAGACATTAAAAAACACATCGAGAAAGAGAAACAAGGTACGTATTAAAATCTAAACGGAGGGTGTGCCAAGAGGATGGAGCCAGGCTCTGCTCAGCTGGTGCCCAGCAACAGGACACGAGGCAAAGGGCAGGAAACAACTCCCAGGAAGTTCCACCTGAATATGAGGAAGAACTTCTTTATTGTGAGGGTGACTGAGCATTGGAACAGGTTGTCCGGAGGGTTTGTGGAGTCTTCCTCACTGGAGATATTTAAGAATTGTCTGGACACAATCCTGTGCCGTGTGCTCTGGGATGATCCTGCTTGAGCAGGGAGGCTGGACCAGGTGACCCACTGTGGTCCGTTCCAACCTGACCCAGTCTGTGATTCTGTGAGCCTCGATGTACCCATTCGCTTTTAAATGTCTGTTGTTATGCAAATGCTTGATGGGTGAGGTGTTCTAACACAGAAGTTATGTCCTGACCTTTACTTAAACAGAGACTTACTTTCTTTTCAGATGGCAAATACCATAAGCAAATCAGGATAGAGGAAAACGCAACAGGTTTTGGCTATGAAAAGCTTTTCCATGAGTACCTTACTGAGATTGTTTCTGAAGTTTGGGTGGAGGACCCGTACATTAGGCATGTTCATCAGGCAAGTAGATACTTGGTGTAACTAATACAGATGTACTTACTAGAGACATTCCAAGTTACTAAATTAAATAAAACTTTTACAGTTGTATAACTTTCTACGATTCTGCGAGATGCTAATTAAGGGGCCGTGCAAAGTGAAAACAATCCACCTCCTCACTTCCTGTGATGAGGTAAGTGTCTAGATTTGTGTCCAGATTGATGTGTCTATTGATGTAGTAGGTAATGTCACATGCAAAATAAAAAATAATAAAAAAAAATTGTTCTTACTTACCAGAACTTGTTAGACTCAGGCTCTAATGCTTTCAGCAGAAAACTCAGACTTAAGAGAAGAATAAAGATTTGATACTGGAACATAATTAATTTTTTAAGTTCAGAGTTTTCTGATAATTCTAATGAATTCTTGGTAAGCAGAGTCTTAAGTCGAAAAGATGTTTCTGTGAAAGTTTTGTTGCAGAAAATGTCATCAAAAGCAAAGCATCTATGGGGATATGGGGTCTTTTGCTCTTTCAAAAGCTGTATTTAGTTGTCATTTTAGAGGCTTTGATGAGCTGTAATCTCTCAAACTAGCATTGCATTTATTTAAACTATTACTGCTCTTGTTTTTAATAGTAATTCATATCTAGTTTCAAAGGGCTGAGAGTGAGCTCCTCCTCCTTGTCCCTTAGCAAATGTACCTATAATCTGTCTGCTCTTTGTCCTGTCTTTGAAACTGCAAATCTGCCTCCATCCAAGTTACTTCCTTTTGGTTTACTTTGATACTAAAAAGTTTTTATTGGTGAGTTCAGGAAGAGATGACCCAAAGCGAATTTATATTAAAAAAACCAACCCTCCCCCCCCATTATTTTTATTTTTTACAGGGTAGTGGGAGGAGTCAGCAGATGAGTGGCTTGGAAGAAATACAACAGTCATTAAGGAATTATGGAGTAACACTGAATATTGAATTTTCATCTTCAATACACGACCGAGAAATCAGGTGCAGGTTTTAAAAAATG